ACCAAAAGTGGTAGGACCCTTTGATATAATCTATAATAAAAAGGTATATATCGTAAAATTTTAGTTCTAACTCATGCAGCAACTGCTAGTAATAAGGCATTCAAAAAAATAAACCTACCTGGTCTGAAACCTAGCCCACCCTCATCCAAAAAGAAGTTTAAAAAATTATTGGTAATTGTTCATTCACAGAGATTGTGAAGGGAAAAATACACCTCTTAGAACCCACCTTCAGGAGACAAACTAGAATCATTCACAAGTCTAACCTTGCATGCCATCAAAGAAGCAAATCTTGACTACACAAATTAAAAAAGTTCCACAGTTTATCAGGAAAAAAAAATGAGGCTGAAGAAGCCTGCACCTAACAATTTAGTACTTCACAAGCACTTTGTCACCATAATAGTTCTATATAACAATCAATTATAGAGGGTGTTTTTACCGCTTTATCTTGCAATCAATGCTTTCTCCAAACATATAATTGCTTATTTTTTTAAATAAGAATTTTTATCTGTTTTAACTAATTTAAAACATCCTACTGTTTTAAGCACATTTCCTTAAGGAATCCTATAAACCTCTCTAATTTCAATTTAGATGCTATTTTTCGCTCACCATCCTTTATATGGATGTGCTAATGGCACCTTTATAAATTTTGTAGGTAATAGTACCATTTATAAATGTTGATATTTAATACTGATCACTTTCCAAATAAAATTTTATCCTTGCTTGGACAAAAGGGAGAGTAAAAGGCCCTTTAAACACCGAACTATCCAAAATAAACATATATCATGTCCACAAAATTACTAGACTTAATCCATCATCATTGAAATGATGCATTAAAAAAAGAAAAAAAAAAAGAACAATTCAGCACAAAATACACTCTGCATGCTTTCCTTGTATATATAGAGCTTACCTTCTGAATACGAGTTCGTTCCTGCGGATAGATGGCTTTGTGCTCCCTTGTCAAAACAATGGCTTTCAATGGACTGGTTTCATCAGGCTTATTTTTTGATCCATCAACAACAGGTGATCGGGCAACCACTGCTTTTGCATCCCCTACATTAGCAACAAACACCTGGAAAACATATGGCAACAACTCAATAATTTCAACCAAACAATACAATGCACGCAATCCGTGCATGTCTCTCTTCAGTTTATGCATTCTCCCTCCCTCGGACAATAACCGTAACACTAAAACCAGCTTGTACTTCAACTTCCTCTTTCAATAACTAAATAGAAATTTTCAAGCATATCTATCGACAAAAACCCATTCAAATTAATCTATGTTTCCAGAACCAAATGCCTCCAAAAAGTCATGAGGGCAAAACAGCAATTGCTTGAAGTTTATATTCTACCTCAAAATACTTTTTTAAAAAAATATATTTCTACCTCAAAATACTTAACAATGAACGGAAGCAACAGAAAGAAAAAACAAAAGAAATTAAAAATGAACAGCATAACTTTGACAAATTGACCAGCAAAAAGAAGCAGGTAGCACATTTCCCAAAAACAAAATAACAAGCAGACCCCAGTTACATTAATGCCCTTCTTAGCTCAGCAATATTAGATAATCATAAGCACTGATTCTTAAATAGGGAACAGCAACTTGTTCAACATCTTCTGCCCACTTACATTAATGCCCTTCTTAGCTCAGCAATATTAGATAATCATAAACACTGATTCTTTCACCTTATTTTAAGTATTAACTAAAGTAATCTGAAAATTCAACAGCAGCGAACTTACTGTTTGACCTAATATCCAAACACAGACTGCAGTAGCACCATCCTGCCATCCTCCTGATAAAAATGCAAAAATCAGCAGGTAAAAGAAATCCTAACTAAAGTTTGAGAAAATTCCCAGCATTTCCACCTGTTCTTTAACATTTAAAAATGGCTGAAAATGGAGGGAACAAGATACTACAAAATTAAAAAAAAGTTTCATACACATACATATATGTGCAGTCAGAAAGAAATAGACAAGCTTATGATGGAGTTGACTGCCATATTCACTCAGATCAAACATAAGTGGTCTCATACACATTGCACTTTTTTTGAATCTGAAGATGAAAATAATTTCAGATGGAACATTTTATTTCTAATGATATTAACCGTTTCATATAGGCAGCACCACCAGGAGATCTTTCGAATAAAAGTATTCTCTCATCAAAAAGTTTATGGACAAAATGCAAAAGAAAAAATTATCTTCTTTTTTTTTTCTTTCTTTTTTTTAAGAAGCAAAACAATAGTCTGTCCAGTAAACAAACTCAAGTAGAGAAGTAAAATACAAGTGTTCCTTTTCATCACAAAATCAAGTGCCACAGAATCATAGATAAATGAAGTAAAGAAGAGAGATGGAACAATATGAAGGTGTTATTTCCATAAACAATATCTTCTTAAAAATCAGCATATGTCTATAACACAAATCTTATTTTACTATCAAGAAGGTGTTTGGAATTCCTGAAAAAATATGCTTAAACAGTTGGATGCTTAAAGCCACTTAAAGCAGGTAATTCTTATTTAAAAAATAAACGATTACACATTTAAATAAAGTGCTGATTGCAAAAAATAAATAATTATTTAAAAAATGAATAAAAATAAATATATCTATTATACATATTTTACTACTTATATTATTTTATATATATTGCTAATTCTAAGGAAAATAGAGAAAGTGATTAAGTTAATTAGTTAGTTTAAAAAATAAAACCTACAAAGATTAGGATTAGGGTACTTATTTTCTACCTTTTCAAAGTCACTCTTAAGAATCTAATCAGCATCTGGGTTTTTATATTATCAAAAGCGAAAATTGTAGCATGGGTGTTCAAAACTGCTTATAAGCACTCAATTAAAAACCTAACAACCATCTGAGTCATTCTCACAACTGACTACATCAACAATTTTGCATCTTCAACAAAAACTGAAACCACCTCTCTTCCATCTAGAAGTGTCAATGAACTAAAATTTCAAACCCTTTGAACTATGATCTATTGGTTCCTACATATAAAGCATAATATTTGTCATAGTATTCACAGATTATCAATCTCATAATCTGATATATAATTATCCTCCAAGTTTTGAACTCTGCTTGCATAAAACATGAAGTTCAAATACTTTTTCAGAAGATAAAGTAGAAACTGTATACTGAAAATTCATTAACATTACCTGAAGTACTTTCTTGAATAATAGACTCATCTGTTTTCCGAAAACCTCAAGAAAATACAAGACAGAAAAAAAATTATAACACAATTTTTAAGTGAAATAATTAAGGAACAAAACCAGAAAGAAGCACATAAATTAAATTCATACCATCAAGTATGGCTCTTTTAGCAGCTTTCACATCCAACTGAAAAGCACAGAAAAAAATCAGACATAAATCAAGGAAAAGTCTAAACAAATCAAACATAGTTTCAACGAGTCAGGAAAGAAAGCACCATCAAATTCATGGGAAAATGATGAAAAAGGACATTGTACACACGTACAGACTACTGGAGAATAAAAGTATATAGTCAAGTACAAAAGAAAGCATGATAGGTAATGTAAAATAAAAAAGGATCAGAACATAAGATAATAACTTACAAAAATAGTAAATAACTTAAATCATACTTCTATATAAGTATAAACATTAAACAAATAGAAGAGTTGTATATATAAATGAACGTTTGTCTGCCTACAAGCTTTTCAAGTTTCAAGAATAAGTGACACCTAAGCATAAAGACAGTTAGGTAATGTATCATGTTTGTTCTTTCTATATGAAAAAAATAAAATGTGATTTTTTTGAAATATGAGAAAAATAAAATATGATATCCATGTTAAATAAGCAATCACCCACAAACAAATAACAAATTCGCATTTACACCAACTCCTTCAAGAATAGCTAAAATTTAAAAGAATGAAAAGGCAGTGAGGCAATAAATAAACCAAATGTGACTAACATTTGGTAACTAACATGACAATTTATAGAAAGATAAACAAAATTAGAGATACTATTATGAGTTTTCTATTAGAGATTCCAAGATTTTTGTGATAAGCATGGACACATTTCTTTTGAAAAACAAACAAAGAAACACAGAAAATAGATTTAGATGTTTAGAGACCAGTCCGCGAGCTGCCTTTGCTCGAAGCTTTTGAATAAGAAAGACATCCACATTTTCTACAGGAGGAATTCAAAATCCCATAAGAAACAGGGAAAGATTCCCAGGGGAAAAGGTAGAAAGGAGATTGAAATCCTTGGACTAGAAGATGAGCTGCACCTTGAACCTGAAGCCTTTGATTGAGTAAAGCTTCCAGCGGCAGTTGATAGGTGATAATGGAAAAAAGAAAAGAAGACAAAAGAAAAACAGACAACTGTTTGGATCAGAAAAAGAAAAATCAGACTCATTGATTTAAGACCCAGAAATTATCAGTAGCTTTACCAAGTTCAATTAAAGGAATAAATGAACTATAAACTGAAATGCATGTTTAGACAAAAAATCACAAAGAATGCTCCAAAACTCCAGTCCTCCCTTTTTATCTTACTAGATTGCACCTGCAGCCTATAATTAAACATAAAAATTAAACTCGAGAATCTGTCAGTTTACTACACAATAGTGCCCTGATAAAACAAGCAAATGAAATTAGACCAAGCAAAACACACCAACTCACGTGGTAAGCCAGCTGAAAGAACATTAGAGTGCAAATGCTTCTTAGCATATTCTGCAGCTAAACGACCTCCATGTCCATCATATATTGCGAAATGTGCACATCTACACAGAAAAAGGGCCACATAAAAGTAATCTTAGAACTTCCATCCAAAAGTTCATTAGAAGCAGACAAATTGAAATGATACTCGACAACTATGAAAAGCTCTGAAACAAGCATTTCAAAGAGCAAGCAAGTCTAGTTATT